GTACTGATACATATAAAATAAATTCAGTATTAACACCAGGACCTTGTGTACCAATAGGATCACATTTTTGATGATTTTTACAAATATAACATTGTTGTAAATGTTCTTCAGGTACAATAATATCACCACAATGTGTTTCATCTAAACATTTTTCTGAACAATAATGTATAGAATAATTACGTTCAACAATAAACATTTTTCTTGATGGACATTGCCTATTAATAAAAAAAAAAGATTAAATTAAATATAGTACTCATAAGAAGTCCTGCTACGAAAGACTTTTTTTTTTCTTAGTAACTGATAAAGATTTGCATGTCTATATTATATCATAGATAGGCTTCTGCAATTCGCTGTCATCTTTAGACGCAGCGAATCTTTGTAACTCTCTCATTGTGATTAATTCTCATAATGAAACTTTAAGTATCGTTTTTTTTTATTAATACCTTGTTAATCGTATTGGATTATTTAATTTATATTTCGGTCGAATAGTTTTACTCCAATAATTAGTTGCAGCTTGAACAGCTTCTTTAATTAATTTTTGTTCATCTTTTAATAATCTATATTATACAAAGAACTTTTTGTTTTTTTTTGGATAAATAATTAAAACAAAATTCAAATGGATCATGTTTACTTTTTAATACTTGTATCATAATGAATATGAATTTGAAATATATCTGACGTTGTACGTCGTTTAAATCTTTCAATTATTCTATCAGAATTTGTTCTTATAAAACTATATTGTAATTGATTACGATTGGGAGAAATATGTATGGAAGAAAAAGAGTTTTGAATAATAATAAATAAAAAAAATAAGAAGCGACATGACATAATCGATGTCTACTTCAACAAAATAAAAACAAAATCTGTAAAAAAAAAAAAAAAAAGTAACGAATTACTGTGCACCTCAAATGATTTTTTCCCCTTTGTAGTTTTTAGGTTTTATCACTAGATGTTTTTAATTTATTAACTTCTTATATATAGAAAGAAAGTCCAAAACGCGCTGCATCTGATGATATATTTACATTGAACAATTGAAGTTCGAAGTATAAAAAGTGTATTAGAAAAAGATGTGG